GGTCATGATTCTGGGGGGCATGTTCACCCATTGATTTTCTGCCTTTGCTTAGACTTTCCTCTCCCAACTCCATCCCCCAGTCAACTGCATGCACTTTGTTTCATACTTTTTTATGTGAAGTACACAAAGCTTTCATAAGCACTGCAAGAAAATGAAGCCAGTCCTCCTTTGTATCCTTACACTGTCTACTAATCTGGCCATATGGCAAGTCAGTCATTTGGCATTTGGAAACTTAAGGAAGAGAGGATGGAGGGGAATGTTCAGGCCAAGTTTTCATAGGCAACTTCAAATGGTGTCAGAACAAGTAATTTATTTATAGAAACGTATCAGTATGCGTAGCACATTTTGGGTACAAGATATTTTTCATCAGAAGCAAATGTCTTCTCTCCTACATAGAAAGCTCTTTTCCCTTTGGAGAAAATTTCCCCAAAAGAAAAGAAACTTTCTAGAAAGGAGGTAAATCAGAGTCACAGAGATGGGTAGAAAAAGAGTTGTCTCTGATGAAGAGTAGACCATAACAAAAACATATTAAGGAAACTAGGGTGTTTTCTTTTTTTAGCACCTTGTTGGTATGAAGGTGAGCACCATCTTTACTGCCTCTTTGCTCACATAGTTCTGGAGACAGTGAATACCTGCTTCTCCAAAGGGAGCTACCGCTCGTGATGGGCAGATCTACTTAGTCCATTTCCATGTGCTGCTTCCATTTCCCATCTCTAGGTTCATTCTCTGTCCTTGCCATGCAGATGTTTTCTCTCTTTCTTTACAGGAAAAAATATCTAGGTCTTGCATTAAAACAATACCATGTGCATTTCAGTGCACATTTTTCTAGTGTTCACTTTTTTCTTTGCACGTTTTTCAAAAGTGCACATTTCTCAGACACACTTCTACTGTTCCATAAGATATAACTCTGGAATTGCTTAGATTTTTGGATGTGAAACATGTCTGGTCTGCCTGCATCCATTCCATTCCTGGGTGGTTAAAATCGATGAAAAAAAATCTGACAGAACAGATTTCTCACACACTGTTACCACACAGTGACTTTTGAAATAACCGTCATTTGGGTCTAGTGGTGTGGAGTCCTTCTCCCAACCCAGGATGAAAGGGAGTTACTGTAGTTTGGAGGAGAAAAGCAGAAAACCAGTTGAGTAGGTCGTGATGAGAAAGTATGGATTTAATCTGCTTGAAAGGCTGACGAAACTTTGTCATGGTAGAGGATAACTAATATGTCTTGTGTGCCCTTACATTTGTACATGACCTGCCCAATCTGCTGTGTTTTTCAAGCAGAACTTAGCACGGCTGTTCTTTGCTACTGACCCATGTGACTAGACATCACACACTCTCTTGTTGTCTAATTGGTGTCTCGACCGTCGGCTGCTTGCTAGTTTGTTCATGCAGGTGCACAACTGAGATCATTGATTTGATTCAGCTGGGAATGAGCTCCAGAAATAATTGTGCATATTTTACTCCCTTCTCTTGCTAATCACCAGCTGTCTGGCCTACACCAAGTTCTTGAAACCCAAGGAAAATGCTGAAGGGCTGGTCATTGAAACGGTCGTAGTGGTCCCACGACTACAGAGAATAACTAACCTGTTCACCTCACTGATTGCTAAGCAGCTGATTGCTCTTCATATATAATGCACTGAAGTAATATCTCTGGGGAATATGGCAAGAGACTAGGAATTATATGTTAATTCACAGGGCTCAGCACTGAGAAGATGCAGTCAGGAGTTCCCTCGGAAACTGAAAGCCTGCTGCCAGAGAAAAGGAAACACGCGTGGTTCCATTCCCAAGCTGTATCCCAGCAGAGGGGCATGTTGAGATGTGCATTTTCTCACTTTCCTTCTGTAATACCTGGCTGAAGGAGAGCTGCCACACAGTGCCAGAATGGAGCTCAGGACTGGCCCAAGACATTGTGCCCCCCAAGGCAGAACAGCAAATATTCCCACCCCACACCCCATGCCCCCAGGCACAGTGCCCAAAACTAGCTCAGTTATTTGGGACTTAGGGCAGATAATGTTGCAAGCACCTCTCCCCTCTCAAACAGAAATTTCCAATAACAATACATAAATATGCAAGCAAGCATTTGCTGCCCTTTCATGACAGCTTAAATCACTGCCTAAGTAGAACCCTAGCTGGCAGGAAAGGCCTTCTGGGCTTGGGAACACTGTTATAGGTTAGGGAGGCCTCTAGGAGTTTCCAAAAGAGAGGAAATATGTCACTAAACTAAGAGGGGCCCAGTTTACTTAAGATTTGCACATACCAATTTATAGTGTACATGCACATTTCTGTATTGTATATGTAGCATCAAATAGACAACCAGTGCATCTCACCATATGTGGAGGGCAGTGACGCAGTGACTGGTGCGCCTGGCTCAGTCTGCTTTCCAGGTAGACTGAGCATCAAGGCCCAGCTCTTCCTCATGGTGGTTCTTTTCCTTACATCAGCCTGGGGGAGAACTGCACTAGAGCACCTTCCATTTATGAGGCAGCACAGGCCCAGTGTTGGTGCAGAATGCATGGATCACAGCCGGGGTACCTGCAATGAATGCGGCAGAGTTTTCACTGTGCCAAGAAGGCGTCCAATGCAATTGCAGAAGTAGGAGGCGTTTGAAAGGAGACGTGTGCAGGGAAGGTCCAGCTTTTACATATATGTGCATATCTATATCAGGAGAAATTCACAACGTATAAAAGAGTCATGATATAACTGGTCTGATTAAATCTGGAATATAATGGCAGAACTAACCTGAGAAGGATGAGCATCATGCGACTTGCCATTACAGTGCCAATAAGATCACCTCTTGGACTAGTCAGCCCTCTGGACAGAGGATCCCTTTAAAACAGAGGCAGACCATAGGTTAGATGTTAACAGAAATATGCAGGGTGCAAAAAACCATCTGGTGCAGTACAGCATTCAAAATTGCAATGCAGTTTAAAAGCATTTACGATTTTCTCTCTCTCTCTCTTACAATAACTTCTCTAAGAATCACAATTTTGTATCACATTCTTACAATATTAGAACTCTTGCTCAAATCCTTGTTTACCCACATATTCCTAAATGTGTGCTAGATGGCAACATTCCTGTACTAATCTAGCTAGTGGTGTATAAGGGTTTTGCATGATATCTGTAACTGAATAAGAAACACCTGAGTGTTTAAATTACAGAGCCCAATTTAGTATCTGGGGCTATATGAGTGGTGAAAGTACTGATAAATAATCTGTTAACAGGTTTGTTTTCATGAAACACTATTTTCTATTACTTATTTTTTTCTGAAAACTGCTTTCAGTATAAGTTACCATTCCTGTATTGTTTTCCATAGAAGTTAACTTTCCGCATATTGTAATGACTGGAAATATGGATCAAGTAGCCACTGCCATTCAGGGCATGACTTATTTGTGTTTATCTCTTTTGAACATGGCAATGAAATAACATGCTGCCCAGTTTATCTGTGTGACTTTGAACTTCTCCCGTAAATGTAAGATAAATACTCCACACATACACGGACTGGGAACAGGAGGTTTTTCAACAGGGATGTTCTAACTAATCAAGACACTGGTTGGATCCAGTGGTGTAGTTCTTCTTCTATCCAGTGGAACTGCTTCTCTCAGTGGGGCCAGGAAGGAAGCAGGAGGGAAGCAATTCCTCCCTTCCCCTCCCCTCCCCTTCCACAGCCACCCATATACCTTCAGAATTGGTGCAGAAGGCTGGGAGCCCTCCTGGGAAGATTTTCAGATAGTATAGAGGACTGTTTAGGAAAATAAGGAGAAAATCCTGTTGCATTAGTGGAGTTCCATTGGTGTGATACATAACCTGCTAGCTAGAAGGTGTGGGCTTGTCTTTCTAGAATGATTATGCCCTGAATATTTAATGAAATTGTGGTAGGATGCAAGAAACCACACGAGAAGGAATGGGTAGGGCCTGAGCAAAGCTCATGGTTCAGTCAATATTGTGAGCAGTTAATGTGCTCACTTATAATACTGAAATAACCAATTCTTCTATGTGCAGTCTGATGCTTTGCCAGAGTAAATCTGCTGGATCTCTACCCTTCTGAGGTCTTCCCAGCCACTGACACTACAATTTCAATGTGCTCAGGAGGAGGTTACTATATTATAGAATTTTAGTAACCAAAGGATTCAGAAAGACAGCTAATCAAACATACAATTAATGTTCCTGGAACCCTCCAGTGCAATGTTCCTTTTCTCTAAATGGCCAGTGGGAGGGTATATCAGCAAAGGTGTTTATACAACAGGGTCTGGGTATCCAGTACTGCTTCAGGAACCCATAAAGCAAATCAAAGCTACTCATGTGCCATAACTCACAGCCGCACAGAGGCTACCATGTGCTGGTGAAATTCTTAACACTGATAGTCAATCCACTAAGCGCCTCCATTACTCCAGTGACTATAGTAAATCAATATATTGTTGATACTAGAATGATTGATGTATATATACTAACTAATATATTTTCATGGAAACTCAGTATTGCCTACACACCCTGGAAAAATGCTATCCTAATGGTACCTTAGTTCAAAGTATTTTTGTTCCTATTCTTTTCGTCTTTACTTGTATGTGGAAGTACAAATTCGAATGTATTTCAATTACCCAATTGTGACTCAGATCCTGATCCAGTTAATGTTCCAACCGTAGGAAATGATATCCACTTAGGTGCTTTAGCATAGCATGTTAGAAACTCAGTTGTGGAATAAGTTTGGTGCAGACAGACTTAAAGCAATGGCTTTTCTAGGGGTGATTTTGTTACCAGTAAATTGGATATTCATATCTTGCATAAGATGAGGGAAAGAGGCTTGTTGCTCTTCACTGAGAGCTGCCTAGGCAGACAATTGAATCTTATAAATAATATTTTAGGGAGGGCACAGAGATAGATCATAAATCCATCCTTATTTTTTGTTTGCTAAATGCACCACTGGGAAGAGCTTGATCTTGTGTGCAGTGCATGGCTACCAAAATAAAGCAAACTCTTTCTTCTTATTTTGTCTGTTTTAGTGCAAGAAGAGTGGGCCATAAGCCGTCCCAGCCTAAAGGCGCCACCTCCCAGGTCAACCAGAGGGGGTTACAGGGAACACCCCTATGGTAGATATTGAAGGTCCTCCTCATCTGTGACCTCACCTTAAAGACAATTAATAACCTGTGGTCTCCACGTAAACAGCAACAAGACAAGTAATAGCCCATTTCTTTTCTATCCTAGGAATTACTGCTTATGATTACCCTATATACTTCTTGTGTTCCCACATTGGAGTGACACTGGCATTAGTATTATTTTATAACATGGACTTTAAAAGACCGTTGGCAAGCATTGACTAAACCATTCAGCAAGATGATGTTCTCTTGGTTGTTTCTCACTGTTGTGTGTAATTTTAAAGCAAAACAGGGGGAAAAAAGCATGAAGCTGCATCTATTCCCCCATACTACTAAGGTTGAGTTTTTATTTAGGGTTGCTAAAAATGTAATATGACCTTTTTGAATCAGAAAATAATCAAGATGTAGATAAGATGTTTTAATCTGTCTTTTTAACATATGTTAGCTAGATTTAAGATGTTTAATATTAAGTTTGTAAATTTCATTTTAAATGCTGTTTTAATGGGGTTGACAACAATCAGCTACTGTATGTATGTAGCTAACTGAATTTGTCCAGTGTTTTAACCTGTATTTGTTTTGGGTTTTTTATTTTTTAAAAAATCACATAAAGTTCCATGTGTAAGCTTCTCTAAATAGGAAACCATAATTTTGTCAAATATGTTTGCCATAATTTGTCAATAAAGCTGAAACCTTTTGTAAGAAACTAAATTTGGAATTACGTGTGTTTAGCTTTAAATGCCTGCTTGATTTCTTCTTCAAGAGATGCCTAAACTGTTTTCGATATAAAAACATTTTTTTTCAAAAACAAAATATATAAATGAACCCAAGCTTGTTTAAGAAATGTGCAAGACTTTAAAAGTTGTATTAATAACTTATGGTTGTTAAATAATTTAAAAGCTAACAAACTAAACTGTGACATGAATCATGGATAGCAGACACTAATGTATAATATGTTAATGGGAAAAAAGACGTGGCTTTAGAAACAATAAATGGATTTCTAAACTATCCTTTAAGCTTGATCTTGCTAAACACACGCTCTGATTGACTTGTTTGTATTAGCATGTCTCTCGTGAGAATGTAATGGAGTTTAAAGAGGTAAGATTACTGCTTACCAGTGTTAGATTGTCTAAATGCTAGTTCTTCAACCTTTGAGTTTCCCCGCACATTAAATATCCCATTCAACATGTAAGCATTGCATAGACTCACCTATTGTTTTCACTCTGAGGAGTGTGTTGGCTGCATTTGCGTAGTTATCTAATAATTTGTCTTGACAAACCAATCATCAGTGTCACTGCCCAGTTGTTGCTATTCAACTTCAAAAACTTTATTTGTAATTTTCAGTGCTAATTATCACCTCCCTTGAAGGCAGTTTAGAGGGCTGTTATTTCTTTTGAGAATATCAGACTTGATGGCTGATGATTATTAAGGAAATATGTCGCAGGACTCAAAGGATGACTAAACGTTAAACAGGTAACATTAATAAGTAACTCTGTAATTTTGAGTATGCAACAGCAATGTTAAATATTCCAAGTGATTAAGTTACTGATAGTTAAAAAAGTAAACCTGCCAAAACATAACAAATAGGTATTATAGGCTATTAAAACAACTAATTAACATTAACTAGTGGCAACAAAATTATGTTACAATATATAACCCTTGAGGCAATAAACAGAACTAAAAATAGCAATAATAGTAATGCAACTCTTGCTAACAGTGAATATATAACCTAAATTTTTGTGACAAAAAGGAAGACTTTATAGTAGGGTTACCAAAATGGTGGAATCTTTTAAATACGATTTTTTGTTTCTGGTGGCTTTTTGTCAATGTGATTGGTTTACTTTTTTGATGAGAACAGAGCATAGGCCGGTTGCTGTTCAGTTTGTGAACAAAACAAAAGAAAGAAATCTCTTGCAGCTGGAGTTGCATGCTAACTTCCTTGACTAGCCTTTGAAGCCTATGTCTTGTCAGTTGACTCTGCTGTGTTGATTGACGTGGGTTTAGTTAGCTTTACATCTGTCACACTGAATGTTCTATCTCACTATTTCAGGGATCGAAACACAGAGGACAACAAACCAGCAGTCAGTTACATAGTCTCCAGGTAAGCAATTAATATAGTTCTTCATGTATGGGAAAACATTTTCTTCAGGATAATTGTTTTTCATTATTCTGTAGAAATATTGCCTATTAAAGAACTATTAGTGTTCATTCAGATCCCAAAGTTGTAGTCCTATGTGCACTTACACAGAAGTAAACCAACTGAACACATGGGATTTACTTCTGAGTAAATATGATCATCGTGTTATAGATGTGATCTCACGTATAAAATGTTGATGGCCTACAATATGTAACATGGTATACCTCTGTGCCACAGAAAGGGTGTTAAGCAGGCAAAGGTTTAAAAAGAAACTGTCTTTGGTTGTCTATTAAGCATTTTCTGGTGTCCAAAAATTCTTTCAATAGTTATTAATATGATGCACTGAGTCATTTTTCTTTTGAAGGCAGGAGCACTTCTTTTGAAAATCAACATATAAATTTTGTAAATAATCTACCCATTGGGAGCAGAAAGGCATTAAATGTACAATTTGTTGTTCGGAATACAGGTTTGTGAATGTTATTATTGCTTGTGTTATCTCATTTTTGTGCTAGATTTATATGTGGTAGATTCACAGCAATAGATCTCTTTCATCTTGTTGATTCCTCTTTATTCCACTTTGCAGGTGAAGCCAGCTCAAATTGGCATGCTACCAAGTTATATAAGGGGTATGCCAGGAGAAGTAATTTCTCCTGCATTTATTTTGACAGGTTTTGCATTTTAACATAACTTTTTGTACATATGTTCTCCCACAGGTATTCCTCTATGGAGGAAAAATGTTACACTGAATTTGACTTAGGAATAGAGTTCAAGCCCCAATGGGGCTTTCATTCTCTCTTTTCATAATATTTCTAAAGTCAAACTTGGATTCCTAGAACAATGTAGAACTAAAAGGTACATCAATACACTGTGCTTCAGTAACTTACATCTAGTAAAAAATGTGTATATAAATGCTACAGATTCAGTCATGACCTTTCAGGGCTAGCTTTGCTGAATTCTTCTGCAGAAAACACTTCCCCCAGCCAGTGACTCTATCCCAGTCTCACTAAGTTCACTTTGCTGGCCCTGAGTGAAAACTTGGGGACAGATGGTGATTATATGAAGTTTACCTGAAGGACAGTGCACGCAGTGGTTTTCACATTCTCCTTTCAAGCAACCCCATGTTGCCTCTATGGCTGAAGAACCATGTTGCCACTGGAGAACTTTGGCTGTTGCAGAAGATGCAGGAGATACTCTAGTTTACACCATCTGCTTGCAGAGACTCATGGTAAAGGCTGCTGGCTGGCATCCTGGCTCTGTGGCAGTGCTGGCCTTCCCATGGCCCCAATTCAGCCTGGTGGCAGTGCTCCTTTCTTCGAATCCCACCCAGCTACCAGACATTTGGTGGTTTCCCTATTATTTGAGTAGTTCTGTTCCCATTCTAAAAGGCTGGGTACCTCCCCTAATGTGTACTTACAGGAAATAAGAGCTTAAGCTAAAATACCCTGGTTTTTTAAATTATCATTTCTGCTATTTTAGGTCCTGTTCCCTTTTGCCTTGATCCCTGCCACCTACTGGATCGCAGCCCCCATAAGCATCTTCAAAAATGAGCTCAGCCCTCAGGCTGAAATTGTTTCAACACTCTCCTCTACACTCAGTGAGAATACATGTAATACTTTGAAAAGGGAAAATGGGCAAGCCTCTACTACTGAGCTCTTTGAAGCCTCTGAAGAACCTCGGGTTCCCTGGAACAGAGTTTGGAAACCACAGGTTTGACACAAAGCGAGTGCTCATGCATAGGAGTAGGAATTATTGTTTAGTATTAGGGCAAAAGCAGCAGAATCTGGCTTCTTGTACAGAATCCATTCCCCTGGATTCCACTCTGGATTCAGTCACAGATGGCTTTTTTAATTAAACAAGAACAGCAAATTAATGTGTCATATTTTTATTAAAAGTAAGAACAAGATAATAGCAAAACTCATTATACAAGGGGTCTTCAAAAAGTTTCTGCACCTTTATATTTTTTGTCTGTTTGTTTGTTCACTGATGGCATTAAAAGGTTGGTACAATGCTAGGAAAAATGTATCACAAAGGAAGGTGACTATGTAAAAAAAGTGATGTAATTTGTTTTTGAAATTCATAATAAAGAGAGTTTTTAAAAGTTTGGAAACTTTTTGAAGTCCCCTAGTATATGACAGCTTCAAAATGTGTATTATTTCATTAAATTTTGTGTTATGAATCTACCAGAACCTTGAAATCTGGCTTTTTTGAGTGCACCACATTTCTTGCCCTGCTTCCAATTCATCATCTGATAATCTGAAGTAGAGCAGAGTCAAGGTGTTTTGTGGACTTCTGTGGAAGACTGGTTTTCATACTTTTTTCAAACTGATAATAGGATTTTTTTATAAACTAGTACTGGGGAAACGTGATTTTTTTTTAAGCGTGCAAACTGTAGTTTTACAAATGGAAGTCCACAGACTGGTTCTATTTATAGTGCAGTGAGTTAGTGCCAGTGGATGTCTGGTGAACTCAAATCCAGGGAACCAGACCAAGGAAATCCAATGGATTCCCACCCTACAAATGAAGTCCACACAGACCTCTGTCCTCTGCCATTTCTAGTTCTTCTCCCATGAAAATGTAGAACATTTTTCACTTCTGCTTAGCTGGTAGATATCAGATCATACCTTTTTGCATGGCTATTCCTGTTATTTTCCTAAGAGTCAAGGGGGATAATAATAGGATTTGCTAAAGTTCAGAAAAATATGGAAAACCTGTCAAACAAAAACATACAGTGCAGTCCTACTGAGAACAATATTGGTGTGGCTTTATAAGTTCCTTAGATGGAGGAAACCTGGAAATTGTATGTAAGCTACTTTTAGAAGCAAAGGAAGAGCAGGTTACAAACCTAATGAATAAAACATGTCAACAAGCCAA